CTGGGAAGCAGTCAAATGGATCCTCATATATCTACGGGGTACCACAAACAAAACACTTTGTTTCAAAGGTGGAGATACGATACTGATAGGCTATGTAGATGTTGACTTAGCCGGAAATGTTAACATCAGAAGGAGCACTACAGGGTATGTCTATACTCTAGGAGATACTGCAGTGAGTTGGGTTTCTCAACTACAGAAGATAGTTGCTCTCTCCACAACTGAAGCAGAATATGTCGCTGTTACGGAAGCCAGTAAGGAGATGGTTTGGCTCCAAAGTTTCTTGGAAGAGTTAGGCAAGAGACAAGAAAACAATGTCTTGTATTGCGACAGTCAAAGTGCTATCCATCTAGCAAAGAATCCGTCTTTTCATTCCAGGACGAAGCACATACAATTACTGTATCATTTTATCCGGTCTCTTCTGGAATATGGGATTTTGAAACTTGAAAAGATTAGTGGAGCTCAAAATCCGGCAGACATGTTGACAAAGACGGTGACTACGGACAAACTGAAGTTGTGTTCAACTTCAGTTGGCATGCTGGAGTAACAAGACCAAAAATGTTGCTGCATTGATCGAGGTGTGAAGACAGATTAAAATCAGTCTTCAAGTGGGAGATTGTTGAAATTCAAGCAATGCACCAAATTAAAAGTTCAAAGTTTGGTAAATGTTTATTTGAAAATGGTTTTCAAAGTTTGGTAAATGATTCTTTGAAAAATTGTTTTTCAGAGTTTGGTAGATGTTTGTTGAAATATTGTAATGGGATAATCATAATGAGTCACTAGACTTTAGGGTATTTACATGGTTAAGTCCTTAAGTTTCAACTATAAATACCCTAGCTCATTTAGCTTCAAAACTATTCCAAAAAATAATTTCTTTCTCCCAATAATAGAGAGTTTTCTTGTGAGTAGTGAGTGTTTTGTAAACACCTGTAAATTTTCTCTCTTAGTAAAAGATCTGCAGCAGTCCGGAGACGTAAGCAAATTGGCTGAACTTCGTTATCAATTTCGGGTATTATTTTTCCGCTTTTATTTCGCATTCTCACTAATATGGTTATAGGGAAATTACTTGTAATCAGTTTATTTCCCAACATGTCACGAGTATTGCCTGAAATTTAAGAATGTCGTGCCAAAGAACAAAAATATTATTTGTTTGTCATTTATGTTTCTAGACTTTAATTATGTCTTTTATTATGGTGTTTTATGTACTTTAAGATCTATGTTAACACTTAACTCATATAATCATTGGTTTATTTTATTATGCTTCTTAATGGACGTGTTTGTTTTATGTTTGTTGCTTATGTATAACTTAAGGTTGCTGTCAGGCGAGTCTAGCCGGGTACATCTCCAGTTGAGTAGTGGGTGTGGGGATGGATTTGAGAATGTACCCGCGTGGGCGGGTGTGGATTTAAAAATTTTTACCCGTCATGGGTGTGGGCGGGTGGTGGATTTGAAAATATTAGTTAGGTATGGGGATAGGGGAGGGGGCATCTGCATCCGACCCGCCCGTTTGCCATCCCTACTTATAGTGTAGCTCGATCATTGTATATTAGTAGTAAATTTGATATTTAAAGGTTTTTTTTTTCAGTTAAGTACTTGAATTTGATTTACTGGTTCAAATTAGTATTGAAATTTTATATTTCGGTTCGAATCAATACTTATGATAAGAAATTTATTTGAATCATAAAATTAAATTCAGGCATCAATTTGAACTTAAAATTTAAGTTAATGTATCTAATTGGATAAAAAAATAGTTTAGATATCAAATTAAACCTTAAAATCATATTCAAATATTAAATTAAACCTTGAAACAAAGTTTAAGTACTAATATATATATATATAAAAGTACACCAACTCCCCCATCTTCCTATAAATTTCTTTATTAATCCCTTAATTCTTTTAACATTCTTTATATTGATCTGCAACCAAACCCTTGTTTTCTTTTTTTAACCTGACCTGACCCACACGTGCAATTAAATAAACACCATCTCCCTAACTTGGATTAACTTTTAAAAATGACTTTAAGTTTGTCTCCATTGTTCTGTGTTAACATAAACATGTCAGGGCATAAGATTTGAGCCTACATTTACGTGTTCTCTCTCCCCCACTGGCAGTGCAAAATCCCCCTTGTTTATTCGGTAACTTCTCATAGAAATTGCTGTGATTTTGTGTTTGTATTAAGCAAGTAGGGAATTAAAATTGTGGTTGGAAATTGCAACTTGTAGTTAATTTTCTTGGTTCACGAGGTCTTCGATGAAATAAACCCCACCTTTATTTTATTTACAAGTTGCCTTGGGAATCTCTGGATACCTTCACATTTCCATTTTATATAGCACACTAATCATTACAATTTTAATAACATTTCTCTTTACCCTTCTATTAACTATTCCAAATTATTAATAGATAAATTTTGTTGACTAATTTCACTTATGAAAATAAGTATTATGTCAACAGTTTTGTTAATATTTGAGTAATCAAAACGAAATTAAAGTGATGGCCTAGTGATTAAATACATAGACCTAAAAATTTAGTCATTAAAATTAATAAAGATAAAATTATGAATTAATACGATAGATATATCTAATTATATAAGTTTAATGGTTTAAATTATAATGTTATGTTTTGTCAAAAGAAAATTTAATATTATGAAACGAAACAAATTGAATTTATATGATTCTCTTTATAATAGAATTCTACATATTCATATTAAATGATTAGTAGGGTAAATACTAATACATATACATAATGATCTAATTTAGATAAAATTTTGTGGCACATGTATTGATAATTACATCAATTTTTGTTTGATTTTTGGAAATTGGTTGTAGTCCAATGAGAAGACAAGAAAGAAGGCATTGTTTATGATAAATAAAAAAATTGAAGGATTCAGAAATAATAATAGGCAAATGAAGAAAAAATAGGAGAGGGAGCACGTGCGATCACATGGGCATGGGGAATGCCAGCCACGACACGATGAAATTAGGCATAAACCAGCTGGATGCTTTGTACGCGTAGCTGTCACGCTATTAGTGGGGAGCCCCAGGCTCTGCTGTGCCGCCCAAGCCAAACAATGACTTATATATAGGGTAAATCCATATTTAACTCTTTTTTTTTTATCTAATCAGGTATATGAACTTAACTTTTCTATTCAAGTGAGTACTTATAATTTAACTTAATGATTCAAACAAATTATTTACTATAAGTATCGATTTAGATTAAAATATAAAAAATATTCTATCAATTTGAATCAATAAATTAGTTTTAATTATATATTTAAATAAAAAAATAAATATTAAATCGATTCTCAAAACAAAATCCAGGTATCAGTATACATGTATATTGGAAGACTGAACAAGTGGATTACCTTACGAACATGGCCTTAATTATATCATAATTAAGATGGTAATAGGATGAAATGACGAATCCACGAATATAAAAAAAATAAGAGTTTAAAATTTAAAATTTATTTTTAATAAAATGATTATGTAATTTTTTTATTTTTTTCTTACCTTTAACAAATTCATTAAATTTGATAATTTATTCAAATTTATAGAGATGCATTTAGTCTTCTAATGACTTCTTGCATCTGCCTCTGATAAAACGTGAGAGTTGTAATTATTATACTTTATTTTTTAAGTTGTAAATATTAATATGATAATGATATACAATTAATTTTATTTTATATATTAATAGTGTATCACACTAAATGAAAAGTTAATAATTTTATGCATGAACTACTTATCTCAATAGTTAAAGAAATCATTATTGTTTTTAGAAGTCACGGGTTTGAGTATCAGCGATTGCAAGAGTAATTAAATGTTCATTGTCAAATGATTGAGAGTACTAAGAATAAATACTATTTTATAATCATTTTTTAACTTAATAAAAGAAATTAATTATTTTATTTTAATATATATTATGTGTCACATGACATATTTTTAAAATATCACATAACATGTAATATAATATATTCGTAGAGTATCTCATAATATGTTATTGACATATTTTTAGAATATCACATAAATTTTCCTATAATAGAAAAATGAGATAAAGTAAACGATTAAAAAAATAGGAGTTAAATTAGAAAAAAAATCTTCATATATCAAAATGATAATAAAATATTTATATGTATATTATTTTAATTAGGGTTATTAAAATTTAATCAATATTTTTGAATTTGTAAGGAAACTTAATATTGTATTATTTTTATATTAATAAAACAATTACTTAGTATAAATTTTATCACTTTACATCAAAATTAAATGTATATGAATTTATAACCTATAAAATTATAACTAATTTACCTTAGTGGATAAAAAATTGTTATTGTTTTTAGGAGTCATGAGTTCGAGCACTAGTAACTACAAAGGTGATTAAACGTTCATTGTCAAATTATTAAGAATATTTAGAATATATATTACTTTGTAATTACCTTTAACTTAATAAAAAAATCATCTAAAGATAATAATACTTTCTCCTACTATTGAACTCGTTTAATAAATTTAAATTATTATTATTACTTTTATAAAAAGATTAACGTAGTCTAACATATGTTACAAGAACTCACTAGATAATTTAACCTAAACCTTTTCATCTTACTTTCACGTATACTTTTGTAGTTATTATCTGATACTTATTTAACTTCACAATTAAAATTAAAAAAAAAGCTTCATGTATTTCATTCGTTTATCAAATATTATTTGAAATAAATACCTGTTAGAGTAGATAATGTAACTTGTAATTCAGACCTGTATAATCGGATTCAACCCAAACAAAAAATAAAAAACAAATCTCATATGATGATCGGATCCTATTAACTCCTTCCTTAAATCAACAGTTATTGTTGTCATTTAAAACGACAACCCAAAGCTCCCCTTTCCCTCTGTCCCCTGTTCATCTGTTATTCCCATAAGGAAAAAACAGGAAAGAACCAGCAAATTTTCTCAGCCCCCAAACACACTCCCCTCTTTTGGGCTCTTTCCTTTATTTTCCTTCCTTTTCTTTCCTTTCCTTTCATCAATAAACCGCGTTTGGCTTTGAATGAAACCCAAATTAATGACCAGCGAAAACCGCGTTGATTAACTTTAAGTCTTGAAACTTGAAAGCTCTGTCGCTTAATCTTTACGAGCATCACTTTCTTTCTCGTTTCCCTTTCACCGCAATGCCAATCATCTGAAATTGCTTTGTCAGAGGAACTCAAAAGCGAAAGCTACTACTGAAACAGAACACATCTGTCTTGTCTTTTTCATATTTTATTTTTTATTTTAAACGACAATGCGTTCCGTTTTCAATGTCGCCGCCGTTTTACTTCTTCATTTCTTGCTAACGGCGACGTTTTCTGTCGGGATTCGGATCATCGGCGGGGGAGATGAGTCAGGGTTCTCGGAGGCACCGGAATACCGCAACGGAGTGGAATGTCCGGTTTCTGTCAACAAGGAAGTGGTTTCGTCTTGCGACCCGGATTTGGTCCACGTGGCGATGGCATTAGACTCGGAATACTTGCGTGGCTCGGTCGCTGCCGTCCACTCCATCCTCCGCCACTCTTCGTGCCCGGAAAACGTCTTCTTTCACTTCATTGCCGCCGAGTTCGACCCGGCGAGTCCAAGGGTCTTGAGCAAAGTCGTCCGGTCCACGTTCCCTTCACTCAACTTCAAAATCTACATCTTCAGGGAAGACACGGTACTCAACTTAATCTCTTCTTCAATCCGTCAAGCCCTTGAAAACCCACTCAACTACGCCCGAAACTACCTCGGAGACATCCTAGATCTCTGCGTTGACCGAGTCATTTATCTCGACTCAGACTTGGTCGTCGTCGACGACATTCACAAACTCTGGAATACGACCCTGACAAACTCACGCGTGATCGGCGCACCCGAGTATTGCCATGCCAACTTCACAAAGTATTTCACCGACGCGTTCTGGTCCGACCCGGTTATTTCCCGGGTATTCCATTCGAGGAAGCCGTGTTATTTCAACACGGGTGTTATGGTAATGGATTTGGTCCGGTGGAGAGAAGGGAATTACAGGAAAAGAATAGAGAATTGGATGGAAATACAGAGGAAACGAAGGATTTACGAGTTGGGTTCGTTGCCTCCGTTTCTGCTCGTATTTGCGGGGAATGTGGAAGACATCGATCATAGATGGAACCAACATGGGCTCGGTGGCGACAATGTAAGAGGCTCTTGTCGGTCGTTGCATACCGGTCCTGTGAGTCTGTTGCATTGGAGTGGAAAGGGGAAGCCCTGGGTTCGACTCGATGCCGGAAACCCATGTCCGCTCGATCATCTTTGGAAGCCCTACGATCTCTACAAGTGTAGTTTAATCAAAGATCATCTTTGGAAGCCCTACGATATTCTTGGGATTTTCTAGTTATTTGTTATGATTCTCTTCATTTCTTTGTTTTTTTTAATTGTCACAGAAACGTTTGACTGATTCTTTTGATAGAAAGCTCAGCTGTATACAAACTGAATTCTTTTCTGGTTTATGAGTTTGTTCTCTGCATTTGACCTTTCATTCATCATCAGATAAGGGTTCCATGATTAGTGGAACAATTTTGGTTGGGTATGTAATTGGAAAAAGAACACTATTGGGAGAGGAATAATGTTTAGTTGCTCATTGTTTCTTTGATTCCAATTTTTCTGGTTTGATGATGTTTGGTGGTTGATCTTTTAAAGAATGATAATAGTAATTGAATGTCTTATGATTATATTACAAGGCAAGCTAAAATTGAAAATGAATTAGAGAAAAGGCTGAGAAGATGCCACAACACTGCAAAAACATATTTTTGTTAATATACGGGTTTTAATATAAAATGTTATTTTTTTAAAAAAAATTATACAATTAATAATAATTTTAGTTACAATCAATAATGTTATATTGTTACTGATTTTAACTTAAAAATTTACACTCTCTATTCTAAAAGGTTATAGAATTAATAATAATTTTTGTTATAATCGATAATGTTTTATGAGTTTATTGATAATAACTTTTTAGATTGCAATTAGAATAATTATGTAATTTATAGGGTTTATTATAAATAATATAATATTTTTTAAAAATATTACTCAATTTACTCTAAAACTTACACATTTGTTAAGTTTTTTCGGTTAAAATTGATTGCAAACTTTTTTAACCTATAATTAATAAGTTATATTTTATACTCTCGTGGTTTTTTGAATTCACGAATACGAGAATATTTAATAAAAAGCAATAAACAAATATAAATTAATCACCAGATAATAGAAAAATAAGATTATAGAGAGACATAATTTAAAAAATTAATCGAATAATTCAGATAAATAAAGATACAAACATAAAAATAAATACATGAATGATGGTACGTTAACAACCGATCTTATTATCGTAATATGTATAAGATAAACTTTTGTATAACTCAAATATAATATATATAGTAATTTAATCAAATTGATCTGATTATAATTCGGTATAACCTTATTAAAATAAAAGAATCATGGTGAAAGAAAAGCCTAGTAGTTTTCTAATTGCCAAATGCCAAATCATCACATGTTGCTTAACTGTTGGAAACTCAATTCCCACATGCAAAACTCGAAATTATAGTCTTCCAGAATATTTTAGAATACAGATGAACAAGGACACATGAATTTGTTTATATTCTCATAAATTTGTTTGTCAACTCTCTCTATCACAAACAATTATTTCAAAAAAAGGAAGAAAGAAAGAACACAAACACTTTTAATATACAATTATACGACCGTTGGTAGGTCTATTTTATGCAAATGAAGCCTTCGAACTACCCAGTTTTCCTACATCATCTCATCAAAGGCAATAATTAAATAATAATATGCAACGGCCCAATTTCGAAAAAAAATAAAATAAAAATGAAAAAAAAACATAAATTAGCCGCCAAGGTTTCTACGTAAATTGGCGACATCCTGGTAGCTGATTTGAAAAGACTTTTCCAAAATCACATCAGGAATGGGCGGACTCGACACGAAAGCCGCTCTCGAAGCTATTTGTGCGCCTGGGTTTTGACTACTCAGCCCAGACACAGCCAGTGCGGGCTTTCTCGATTCCGTGTTGTAAAGAAAATGGATCAATCCCCTCGGAAAAACAAACGTGTCGCCGGGCTCGAGCCGCTGAGTGAAGAGACGGTTAGAGGTATCCACAAAGCCAACGAGGATTACACCCTGGAGACAAATGGTGACTTCAGAGGCTCGTGGGTGGGAACGAGCCCGTTACCAGCTATGTCGACACGGGCCATGGTTATGCCCATGGTGTTAATCCCGGGCAAATTTGCGAGGGTAGTGAGTGTGACACTTAAGCCGAATTTGCTCGCCTTAGTGTCACCGGGTTTGGCTAGAGCCGATGTTGTGAAGTGGGAGGAAAGGGCTAGAGTCGGGTAGAGACAGGGTGCACCATTGAGGTACAAAGGAGACTTTGTGTCCGCAATGCAGTAGTCTTGAATCGGATCAGGGTCAGGTTTAACAAGTCTCATTAAGAGAGTTAGGCCGAGGAATATTTGAAGAAACAAAAAAGAGAATTTCATGGTGACCTTAAGGCTACTTAAACTTTGTTATGTTAAAAGTTGGATTTTTGGATTCTGAGGTGTAAATCTGAACAAGCAGATGGAAATGTATAGATATAGTGGATTTTCGGCCAGTGATGTTGTAATTCCATGTGGAAGTGGAATTGAATAGCTTAAGAGGCATTATAGAAGAAACAAGGCAAGTTAGAGACGACTTGCACTAAAGCCCCTACGGCCAGCACAACAGCGACAATTCGTGTGTTATTTTAATGTCAAAATCATGTCTAAATTTCACTGAATTTATAAAACTTTTCAAAAATTAATAAACTACATTACAAACGTCACATTTTTAATTATACTACTTATATTGTGTTTATGTAATTTAATATTCATATCATGTTATTGGCATATAGTACATAATGTAGGTAAATTATATACATGATACTATTGAATTTTAAACGATATATTATTAATAATGCAGATAAATCCTGGAGATTTAACTATTCAAATTTAAAATATTAAAAAATAACAACATTTCTTTTAACTACAAAAAACAATCAATGAGTTCATATTCACATCAACCTTAAGAGCATAATACTTTGGTAAATAAAAGGGTAAACTATAAAAATAGTCACTGTACTCTTAGGGTGCTTGTATTTTGGTAACCTAATTTCTAAAAATTGCAATATAATTACTAAACTTAATTCATTTTCAATAAGGTCCTCGACGTTAACTCCCGTTAATTTTATTTGACGTGAGACATTAGCTCCCATTAAACCTTCTTCTTCTTATTCTTCCTCTTGTTGTTAAACAGGGAGCAACATGAGCTCGAAGGGAGCACCACGATCTCTTGGCTTCTAATTCCTTCGCCGCTTCCTATTTTTTCCTAGTAGTATACTATTTCACAATCTCACCAGCAGCTGAAGCAGCGTCCTTGGCTGCCCTTAACGATGTGGCAGCAAGCTCCTTCTATTTCTGACTGGCATACTTCGCCGCTCCCCCACCCCTCGTCGTTGCCTTTGTCCTTCCACCACTTTATCGGTGGTATAATTCGTCGCGCTCCAGCCAGCTACGGGAGCTCCTTCGCATCCACAACCTCTTTCTGCCAATTCAGCCGCCTCCTTACCTTTCTCTACGGTCACATCCTTTACAACAACCGTTTTTTCTCCGATATAACTTGACGTTTTTAGTAACATCAACAACAAAATCTTTCGCTTTAACTGCCGTTTGCATTGCGTACTCTTTCGCCTGTTCCGTTTTCGGTGTTGTGTAGTCTATCGTAGTCCTACTTACACTCTATAGGGTTTCGACCGTGGTGTCTTTGGTCTTTTTCGAACCTTCGACGATCATATCCTTCGCTTGTCCACCTTTCTCCGCAGTACTGCGAAGCTCGACGAACAGTGTCTGTCACTTGTCCACCCTTCTCCGTCGCATACTGAGCGCTTTGACGAGCAGTTTCCCTTGCTTGTTGACCCTTCTCTTTGGTGTAATCTGCCGCCGTGTTGACCACTGCGGTGGCCGATTCTTTATCACATTCCTTACCGATATTCCTTCATTCGCCAGCAGTTTCCGTGCTACGACTTCTCTCTTTATCGCTCTCGTGTTTACCAATAGACTCCATTGAAGCTCCTCTCTCTTGTCCATGCCCTGCACTCTTCCCATGTTTAGTAGCCTTGGACTCCATTGATGCACCTCTCTCTTGTCCAGCCACAACACTCACTTGAACTTTCCCCGTGGCATAATTAGGCTCTCTTGAACCTGTTTTCCTCTTCCTATACTTTTGGAACCATCTCACTCCGTTTTCGCCACTATCTTGGTGGAGACGTTAATGTCGCCGACTTTCCCTTCGAACTCATGGCGCTCCCTCTTTAGTTTTCTCGTCAAGAAGAAGAAGAAGACCTTACTGAAAAACGAATAGGTGCTGTAAACGAACTAAAAGTTTAACGACTGTATTGCAAGTTTTAATAGTTGGGTGACCAAAATGTAAGCATCCTAAAAGTTTGATGACTATTTATGTAGTTTACCCTAAATAAAATCCCATAATAAACATGGTATTACATATTTTCTAAAAATATATTGCAAAGATACAACTTATAAAACAAATATGAAAATGAAGTCTCGTGATCATGTTCCATCTTTTAACAATTTTATCGATAATGTAGCAGATCCAGGACGATGACATAAATCATCTGAGTTAAACAAAACTGAAATATCAAGGGTCCACATTCCACCACCACCACCACAACCACAACTCTCCTTGAAGGCAGACTTTGGGCTTTTGTGATATTTAATTCAGCAAAGCAAGTGGTTGGTCTATTCTCTTCGTTAGTCTTTACTTCACTACTTTCTGTGGTGGACCCTTTTCTTTACCCATATTCATCTCATCATCACACTCTTTTATCCTAGATTTTGGCTGAATTTCCCCCATTATTTTGCCAAACTGTCATATGACTCATATCTCCACCGATGAGTGATTATTCATGATAATATGCTATTTACAAGCTCCAAAGCTAAACCATCTTGACATTTTTACCAAAATATCACCCTTAGACCCAATAATTACCTGTCAGGTATTATCTCTTTAAATATTATCGATCTAGCACATTTTTGACACAGTAGCAATAAAGCGCAGATCGTTATCCGCGTCTTCGTGGGGTTCTTTCCGAGCTGACGTCATATAAGGGGAAGGCGTGGATCGCCATATGCACCTTCGCGGGATTCTAACACGTATGGAATGTACATATCATTCTCCGTCTCTCACATTGATTATCACTCGTCTCCCCCATCCACGCTTTCTATAAATACCACACTCAACACAATCATCAAACCACACTCAAATATCAAATTCTCTTAATCTTCCTATTATCAAGCGTTTTTATCAAAATATCACCCTTAGACCCAATAATTACCTGTCATACACCCTCTCCCTAAATATTATCGATATAGTACTATTTCCGACCTCTTTTAATTATTGTGAATTTTTATTTATTTAATTTTTTAGTATTAGTTTATATTTTAATTTGTATATTATTTATTAAATTAAGAGAAATACGTATATTGGATCCATTCGTTCGTAACGTTAAGTTAGAGATACCTACTTGTGCCTGGTTGTATTTAGCCGAGGCTGGAGAGAGACTGTACATTGCACTATAGTCAGATTCATACATGTGTTGGAGGTTCTGTGTGTATCGTATTTGTGGGAACTTCATCTACATCATCATCATCAGAGTCCATGTTGAACTGCGATGATTCTGGCTGAACGAATAGTCCAATCTCAGTACCATCTGCACCTGGCTCACGAAGAGGTTCTTCTGGTGAAGATGAGAATTCCTCCATGATGCTGACATTTAGGTTGAACAAGCTGTTAGTTGAATGCATTCTCTTTGAACTTGAATACATCTCAACATTAAGGTCGAAGAAGCTCGCATTTGAATGCCTCCCCTAGAACTTGAAGGCATCGTGTCAAATGGGTACTGCACAGATTGCTGTGTCGAGGGCATCTATAAATTCAGGTCAATAAATTGGCAGATGAATGCATTCCCCTTAAACTAGAAGCGATGTTACCATATGATGTTTGTGGAGCCACATGGGTACAGATTGTAACAAGTTGCTGATGAATGTCTCCCCATTGAACTTGATGGGATGACACCATAATGTGAATTTTTAATTAACGAGTTAAATTCATTACACATTACTTGAGTTGGGCTATCAACTTGACCAACTTGTTGAGCCAGCTCATAGTGGGAGCATAATGACATACCACGAACCGCATGTACTTCAACAAATGTCGCATACATCTGTGTATCGGCGTATGAATATTGATTTTGAGAATCAACCATCATAGCAACATCGTCATCGTTGGAGAGTTCGAAAGAGTTCGAATGTTGTATAATTTAATAGAAATACTGCGGATGGAAATTTGTACTGAAGTGAGGACAGTCTTCTAGCACTTCCAACATAAACCTTCCTTGAAATTTTAGTGATCAGCTCCTCAAGAGTGACGTTTCTCTTGAAGGATATTCTGACAAAATGATTTGATGCGAAGACGCCGTCGTTTTTATCTTCCCGAAATTCTCTATGATAGTAAACAATAGGTGAAATACGCGTCATTTTGAGAGTTTGAAAGATTGAGAGTCTTTTATCTGCAAAAATAATAGCTGAAATACGCCGAATTAAATAAATAGTATATGAATTAAAGTATAAATTAATCTAAAAAAATTAAAAAAAATTCACAATAATTTAAATAACACAATTTCATATTATTACTGTATTGGTAAAATGTCTCGAGGTATGATTTCGCTTTCCAATTTCATATTGCTCAAATAATTAAATATAAAATAAATATAATATAATAAAAAAAAATTATCTTCTAAAAATAATAATAAAATCTACTTAGCTTGATAGAATGATTTAATAGAAGTAAGAATAAACAAGTAATTTTGGTCCGAAGATGTTTGCATTCAGAGAGTTTGTTATTTATAGGGGAGAGGAGCGTTTAAAAGCTAAGTTTTTAGGCTCGAGTAATAATGGAGTACCAATAATTTAACGTGCATAATGGAAGATGCGGATCATGATGTATCAGAACCTCGCGAAGACGCGGATAACAATCCGCGCTTTATTACCACCGTATTGAAAGGATACTAAATCGAATATATTTTGAAATAGGATACCCGACAGATAATTATTGGTTCTGAGGGGATATTTCGATAAAAACGCCAACCATCTTTGGGTTCTTTTTGTTTTCTTTTTGCTTTGGGACTTCCCTCAAGTACTAGAAACAAAGTTTTCTACTTTTTTAATATGAAAAGGTAAATGTGATAATAGTAGAAAGTGTGTGTGGGAGCTTAAATTATACACAGACGCGACCACATGCCTTCCATTAATCGTTTCTTTTAAGTGTCATTTTTGGTTTTTCAATTTCTTCAAAGATTCTCTTTGGGTATTTTTAGTGATCCAAGCTCGATGTGTTCGCTTTGGCCTTTGTATGCTTGAAGTTTTCATGGCGGTGTAGGGAATTTAATCGTTTCAAGTAAAGAATTTTAAGGTACTTCACTTTGTCCTTTTGATCTGGGAAAAAAAAAAGAAATTGGTTGTTGGCCCCTTTGTTTTTTAATTCACCTTCTTCCATTATTGTTTTTGAATTTAATTTTGCTTCATAATTGCTTAAAATTCCTTTTTCATTCTGTTTCTTTCTTCAGAAAATGTTCTCAATTTTGTGTTTTTAAAGTGTGATGTGATTAGATAAATGCAATGGGTTCTTCAAATCCTGCTCTTGAAGTGTCGGTGTCGTTTGGTAGATTTGAGAATGATTCGCTTTCTTGGGAGAAATGGTCGACTTTCTCCCCAAACAAGTACTTGGAAGAGGTTGAGAAATGTGCTACTCCCGGATCAGTTGCCCAGAAAAAGGCTTACTTTGAAGAGCATTACAAGAAGATTGCTGCTAGGAAAGCTGAGCTACTGACTCAAGAGAAGCACGATGAAGGAGGTCCTGTTCGTAAATCTAACGGCCATGAAAGAGATAAGCAAGAAATTAACTTGTTAAGTGAGGTTAATGAAGGAGATGAGCTGGATCAGGAGCCTGAAACTGCGACAAAGTGTCAAGATTCATGGTTTGAGGAATTGAAACAGAGAATAAATAGCATGGTAGAGAATGAAGAGAAAACAGTGGAAAATCCTGAGTTTAACAAAGCAGAAGAAACTGCTCTTGAAGAAGCCTTTTTAGTGAAAAAAGAAATGGAAACTCCTTCAAAGGAGTCTCCAGATGTTATGGAGTTATCGCAGAGATCGGAAAATGTCGTCGAAAGAACTCCCGAGATCAAAGATAAAAACTTTAAATTGGATCAATCTGCAAAATCTCATAAGGTGAGTTCATCATCATCATCACGATGTTTTTTTTTTAAATTGATTTATATATTGGGAAAACTTGACTCGAGTGAATTTGTTGTGTTTGATTGTGTAGATCAGAGCAGTGAATAAGGAGAGGAATGATTCGAGGACGAGAGTCCGCCTACTGCAGCGATTACCGTACACCGATATCGTTAAGATGTACAGAGGAGACAAGCTGTTAATATCAGGAGTTATTTGATTTAATTCCAGGGGTTACATGATATAATTTCGGGAGTTATAACAGCTGAATAATGATACAATGAACCTGGACTATTTCTGAGTCAGGTTCATCTAGTCATTTCAGCTGTTACAATAAGAGGTTAATCCTGAAATTTTATGGACGACTTTAACCCTATTTCTAGCCTATAAATAGAGAGCTATATTCAGCTTCAACTCACTCCAAAACATTCACAATTCACTTACCAAAGTGTTTTCTAAAGTTCTCTCTGTGAGTTCTCTCTGAGTGCTTTCCGATCAAAAGTGCAATACCACCAGCAGTCCACTCCGGTTTCGGGTGTACGGAATTCGGAGCGACCGTGTTAACCTCGGGGGACGGTCCGCCTACTGCAGCGATTACACACATCGAGGCGAATTCGTTTCTAAGGCAGTGGTTCTTACCACGACACGGTTTACGAATCTGTTCTTCTTAATTACTTTATATTTCAGTCAGTGCTAACGGTGTAGTTTTGCAGTTCATATATCCAACAATAAGGACATTGTCAAACGAGCATTTAAGACATTTCAGAGTAATTATAATCAATTGAAACCTTCCACTCAGGAACAATCTGCAGCAGCAAAAACAGTATAATGCTATCTTTTTAAAGTTTTAATCCTTAAGATCTACCTGACATTTCTTTTACGCTAAACTCACATTCATGGATCTTTTGTTTCAACTTTTCTTGCAGGTGCCTGTGAAGGGTAGAGAATCAAGGGTTCCCACTTTTACGACTCCGCAAAAGGAGAATGGCGGGTAAGCTTCTAAGTTGAAAGATTTCAGAACGATAAATGCATACGTGCTTGCATTGGTGATTTTGCATACATCTTGTTCTTCTGTTAAAACTAATAGTATTAGGGTAATGACTGATGACAGTGTCAAAATATGAAAAAGCTATCATTGAGCATGTGAAAACTCAATATATATACTTCAAGCACACTTAGGTTCTTCATGGCCTTAAATTGGCAGGTCCGCTGAACTTGCCTGGATTTAAAATTCATACCATCTGTTTCTCGAATTCTTCCAGAGGAACTGCGAATAATTCTTAAAATATTACTTTTAATAGTTATAAGCAGCATTAACTGGTTTGTGACAGTTCTTGTAGTTAGTAGCATGGAGAAAAAGAATGCTAAGGCTGCTCCATCTTATTCCGGCTTGAAAAGTGATGAAGAGCCGAGAAAAAAGGCTGTAAGCAATGAAGATTCCCTTCTTTTCCTTTCGTAAAACATGCACATTATTCGTCTTTAATTAGAATCTCACCATTTCATAGCCTTTATTTCAGTTCTCCAAGAAACCGGAAACAAAATCCAATGATAGGGAAGCAGCAAGAAGATATCTCCAGTCAAAATCAAAGGTACCATTAACTTTCTTTGTTGAGGATGTCTTGTAAATTGTAATGAATCAAACATAAGATAGAGATATTAATCTGACAGGCCGTTTGGTTGTCGGTTTCGAAGATAAAGAAAATGTCATCATTCTTTGATAAACTTAATGAAAAATGATTTCTTAATTTAGACAATGTCCATTGCTAAACACTATATAATTGACACAGGATAACAGAGATGCAGAGATCAAAAAATTAAGGCAGAACCTTAATTTTAAAGCTACACCCCTGCCAGGTTTTTATCATGGACAGAGAACATCAAAAAGCCCTCTCGATAAGGTATTTCCTTCTGCCGTTTCCTTGCTTCCGACTGCATGTAGTTTGATTGCTGTGATCCAACAGAAATTTTCATGATTTTGCTATTTAATTATTTTTTTCCCGGATTTAGTGGTTTTGTTGTCTGATGAAAAGCTGTTGAACTGCTACAAGTGTACTGCCATCAAACAGTTAGACAGTAACTTTAAGCTAATATGGAGTCGTTCAAACCCCAATTATTACATAAGTCCGTTTAAGATAATCAGCAGCTATATGGTGCAAACCAGCCAGGCCTGATCAGAATAACAAAGCTGTGATTGCAATAATGCTTGACTTTCAAGTTGAGGAACTAGTAGGGACAAATCATAGTCAATTCTGGTAGAGAGTGATGCTTGTCGTTTTATTGCTCCACTGTTTTAGGATTGGTGACAGTCCGGTGGTGCAGACTGCGACATGTATCTGGTAACCTGGCTTAGTCAGGTCTATAAGTAAGTACTGAAACTTAACATGTTTCTTGTCTGTAATTTCACAGATTGGTTCCAAGAGTGACATCCACCGGTAACCTAGCTTCCTCGGGTCAAAAAACCAGGCATCATGAAACTAGGGAGGGAATATCAGGAATGTTCTATATATAAAAGAGAAAAGGACGGAAACATGAGATACATCAGCTTCGGAGGCTAACTACGTTTCCAGGCAAGGAAGGGTATATCTGAAAGCATGTTTTAATTGAGGATCCATGCCGTTTATGAGTCACATTAGAAATCGTCGTTGATGAGTCACATGCCGTTTATTTTGAATGAGTCCATCTTGTCATCAAGTTGGTACATATAGTACTAGAAAAGTATATTGTAGTGTATCTAAATGTGGACAACAAGAACACCACCGAGTGTATTGATGTATCAAATCCTACTTGACATTTGAGATTGAATCAATTTCAAGTTTCTGTGACAACCCATTTGTGATATGATCCAGTACTATGAAATGTGCAGCCTGTAAAACTTACAATCTCGGTTAACAGCTGAGATTAACTCGAGCTTGTTTCAGGTTCTGACTTCCATAAACGACCCAGGAATAAGATTTTTGCCTTGGACCTCAACATGCAACCATCCAAACAGTATGTTGAAACAATCTGAAGTTGAAGTCACGGATTCTTCTCTTTATGAGCAGAAGTCCATTTAAGACAGAGTCAAAGACAAAAACATATAATCTGTTTGTGTTTCAGGCATGACAGATGGGACACTTTCGTTCAACTGTTGAGATTCCTGCAAGTTCTGTTAAAGAAAGTTGCAACTATTTAATGTCTAGCTTCATGCCAGTGGCAAGAATCCAATTCTCTTTTATATACGCTCTTCCGAATTTCCTCCGCATAATAATACCTCAGCAGAACTTCTACACTTTACAAGCTTTGGAAATGCATCTTCAAAAGTAGGATCTCAAACGTTTGACAACTTTTAGGAAGGCCCGACCTATTATAAATACACATGACATACCAAAACTATATATTGCAGTTGATTATGTCTATCAACCTACGAATAATCATTATGACTCGACGTTTGATACCGACACTAAAAACTTTTATAAAACCTCTCGATCAACATCAAGAAAAAAGATCTGAAACCATTTCTCACTCATCTTCCCCTTATCTCCTTATGAAAACAAATGATCTAAACATCGATCAATCACAATTAATCACCTCCACCCATATAAAAAAATAAATCGTAAATAATCAATAAAATTTATTTATTAATTTATTCCCATCAACCATATATATATTATGTTACCTTCAATAATATATAAAATAATTTATTCCCATCAACCATATATATATTATGTTACCTTGCTATCATGACGATACCATAGTTTTGACACTCAACAACCCTTTTCTCACGAACTAGAAGAGACTAGAGATAAACAAGGTGACAAGTCACCATCAAATATCAATGAGCTGATAAGTGACACAGAGCAAGTATTTCTTTGGTATCCTTCCACTGAAATACAGACATGAGATATAGAGCTCGGTCATGATGAGATGATCATATAATACTACTCAGTCACGCATCAAACTCCACCAACCCCCGCCCAAAAAAAAAAAAATGAAGCATGAAATGATCTATTTGAACAAATTGAAGTGGGATCAACTAAATAATTCCATAGAAATTTCATAGTAAAGTCATAGTTAGTTCTAACTTCTGGTTTTCTTGCTCAGTGATCTAATTCTTGCCTGAACCTTCACTTGGTCATCTGATTCATTTTGTTATTATATTAGAGCACTTTGGTTTGGATTTAATGAATATGGTTTATTGCTTGAAGCTTTGGGCTAATAACTGTTAAGGTCTCCTGTTTGATAAGACTGCAAGGGAAAGTGATAATATACATTTCCCTATCTTTTCATGGAATAATCATTTTAGTCAAATTAAAGAATTCATTGAGCGAAACAATATTAAAAGGAAAGGAAAAAAAAGGCACCCATTTTATACAAAAATTTTAATGCTATTGTAGGTTTCGAACCTGCGGCCTTTATGAAACTAGAATTTCGCTTATAATGATTCTGCAGCCTGCATGTTTATCTGATGCCGGTTTCGCTTATGCATGATAATTACCATGCAGTGCTTAATGGAACAAGTTTGAATCAGAAAAATCTGACTTCAATACTCTTTACCACTTTTAATCAAAACTCACTACAAAACAAATGGAAGAAATTTAAAACAATGTCCTAAACTTGTTCTGAATCAATGTCTTTAGTATGCTGTTTATGTACATTGCGTATGCTATATATTAGGATGGACCAAAGGAGAGTGGTGGAGGCAATCACTTCCCTGAAAATTTTAAAATTTTCTTTATATTTTTTATTGATGGTATGTTTTCGTCTATTCTTCACTATGTAACATATAATTTTGTGTCTATTCTTGATGTTTACCATGGAGGTCTGTTGCGGTCATGAATCTTCATCCGATTGGCTAGAACTGCTCCACGACTTGTCTGACATGAAATTTGATGGCAACATGGGGAACCTCATGTTGGTTCCTGATTCCTGTGAAATTGGTGATTGTGGTCCATTATTTGTAGTTGGTGACTTCCTCCTTAGTTGGTTTCTAGGCACGCCTGGTCGGCCATGCCGAGGAAGTCCTTAACGATGACAAATACTTGGAAAGGATCCTTCGAAGACCCTGCTTGATAATACTCTGTAGTTCTACTTACAATTTCCATCACTCTCTTTTGCTCCTCACTTAACCATCACTTCAGCTTCGGCATCGTCGATAAACCCTTTCATTTCTTGCACGAATCCCCTTTTTCCATCGCCCATACACTGCAATACAAGTGCTTGGTTTCTGCTACACCAGCAGCAAGAGCTGAGCATGTATCTGAAAAAGTGTTGAAATCTATAGAGGTGCTTTCTTCACGTTGGTGAAACTCGGCACTGAGGCCTTCTACCACTGGTAATCCGAGCGTTATGTATTCCGTCTGTCTTTCCACTTTCGATGTCAAATTGCCGGTGATGCTATTGCTGCTGCGACTCGGGCTATGACTTCGGCTAATAAAGCATTTCTTTCCCTGTGACCGGACTACTTTTCGACCACGAAATGGAGTAAAGTAGTTTTCCATCGGTGCTTTTAACGTCGCAGAGCTTAAGTAGCGACGTAAGGTTAAAAGCTTGAGCATCGCCTCTGGCAGTACCGGCATTCATTCAATTGCCGGCCTTGAGTATTGCTTCGAGGAGTTTCATAAACAGTCTTTGAGAACGAAGCTCCTTTGTACCCTAACTCTAGAGTTTGTAAAGATTCCTTCATGTGGAGAATTTCCAAGTCATAGTTTGATCTAAACTGCATGGCATTAAGGCGTGTGAAGGCCGATGGAAGAGCTTTTAAAATGTGGAACAGAAAGGATTAGGCATCGGAAAGTCTCCTCGGGTCACCGTCGAAATCGAGGATTTGGGACTGTTCTTCTTCTGTGGGGGCAATTCTCGTGAGCTTTTCAAGAGTATCAACCTCGAGACCTTGGCCTTCATTGAGGGCATCAAGCAGTTCATTACGAGATAGAGCAAGACATTTAAGCACAACGGCAATGTTCTGGGATTTTCCGGCATCGAGAACCATGATCTGTGCTGGTGGGCTAGTGCTCTTTGTGTTGTTTTCATTAGTAGGGGATTTCTTATTTGCCACATATCCGAATAAAGCTTCCATAAGATCATCATCACCCGAATAATCAATTGCATTTTTTGATCAGAAAAAGAACAGAGTCGGCTTAATAGTTCGAGAAATGGTGAAATTGAAAAATGAAAAACTTACGTAAAAGATCCGCCATTGATTTTGTCCCACACCATGGAATGATCAGCATTCTTCTTGTCCACCTTATCCCAGTGCAATGGCTTCAATCTCACCTGGTTATCGTCAACGTCTCCAGAAGACTCCCCTACTTTACCCCTACCGGACTTATCTCTGGGAAGCTGAAGATTTCCACGAAGCAAAGGAAATTCATTGGCTGGCTCAATCTTTATGCTTCGATTTCCTTTCCGAACCATTCCACCGCCATCGCGCCGCTGCCTTCTTATCCTTTGGAACATGCAAACTTCTAGCCGGAACCCATTTATGGCACCTACGTTTTGAAGCTGCCTCCAATAAAGAACATCCAAGCCATTTTCATCCACGATTAATCCTTTATATTGCCATTAACTCTACCGAACTCATCTAGGGGCATTCTCGACTGGGAACTATCCCCACTCTCCCTCTTGCGCGGAGCAAGAGCATATCTTCTGATGAAAAAGAAGAATACTGCGGCGATAACAATAATGCTACCTGCGGTCGCAGCTACTGCCTTTGCATAGTACGGTTGTCGTCGTTCCTGAAGACGATGAGTGTTGACGAAGACGACGGCGGCTGCGAATCCTGTGGTCTTTCTGCGGGGTTGGGTGGTGGCGTTTGCGTTGGGTGGAAGACTTCAATATTTTGAGGTGAAGGCTGGGAAGAAGAGAAAGGCAAGAGAGAGAAGGAAAAGAGAGCAGAGGTTGAGAGGAATCAATGTCGGAAAAGCGACCGCCATTACATTATTAAATATATTAAAAATACTATTGATAATTATAAAATTTTAAAAATATTAAAAATTTATAATACAACTACGTTAAATTCTAATTAATGTATTACAATACCTAAATCTTAAATCTTAAACCTTAAATTATAAACCATAAATCATAAACTTAAATTGTACTTATTTCATAAATAGGTACCAAATCGATTAATTAATATTTTATAGTAAATTTAACTCTAACCTTAAACTATAAATATAAACATTAAACTCTAAAATCTAAACCGATTATGTGATAGGGGTTAAGTTATGCACATGAAGGTAACATACAATTATGCAAAATTGTTAGAGTCTAAATAAACCAATCGCATACTTTACATAAACATCAACATGCAAATAAATATACACAACTAATTAAAGAAAACAATCCTAAACAGGGATAATTAAAATAATCTAAATGAGGACTAATTTAAGCTAAATATACTAACTTTAGATGATGATTAAATCACGTAATGTAAATTAACTTACAAAATTAGAATTAAACCATAACTTAAATACAAAATACGCATAACTATAGGTCTTAAACTATAGAATTAGTGGATAAAATAAATGCCAAGACAGAATTGTTCGAGTGTTTGGTTAGGAGTACCTTAGTCATTAGTACTAAAGTTTCAAATATAAATACATATGATACGAGACACCACATTGGGGTTTGGAGAAAGGTAGAAGATAGTGGACTAGCTTCCACAGGGAAATCAGGAAATAGAAGGGGTTTTTTCTAGTTCTAGGACTGGTTCTCCTCATAAGAAACTGACTAATAGAACTAACTCAGTGCATGACCATTGAGTCAGTCCCATTAGAAATGGTAAGAAATTGGTTTGATAAAATAGGATATGGTTGTAGGCAAACATACCACGTCAAAGATTCCTTCG